AGTCATCCGTTGAGGTTTTTCCCAGGATTTGTATTTTACAGTCTTGCCAATTTTGTTCTGAACGTTCACTGTTAAAATAAAATTCCACTCAACTTCCTTTTTATCCAACATCATCTCACCAGGAAAAATTAAAAAGGAGCTAAATAACTGGCCCTCAACCCAAAAAAGGAAGACAAACAGTAGTGTCCTTAACGCTGTCTACTTACACCAACTTTTGTTTTCACACTTCTGGCATGCACCCAGCCACCCTTTCTCTGGCCAAGCGCCTGGGCCTTGGACAGCTGTCATGGTCGCAGTCTCGGGCTTGAGGGAAAGCCAGGGAGTGAGCAAAGAAAAGAGACTGGGAGAGAGGAGTGAGAGAGTCATTTGGCCGGGCAGTGTGCCGCAGGGGTGATTCCTGATGGCAGAGGAGGATAAGGGGATGAAGGGAGGGAGGGATAGATGTTGTGCTTAGTCACAGACCTCCACTGTGACCCAGAAGGTCAGGCCTCCACACTGGCCGCCTGACCAAAGCCTCCGAGGCAGCCGGGCGGAAAACAAGATGCAAACAGCTATTCCACGCAGCATGGTGGGCAGGCGGTGACCAATCTTGAGGATAGGGAACAGCCAGCCTGAGGGATTGGATGAGGGGGTGAGGAGGTGTGGAGAGTCAGTGGTACCTACTCCCCCTCACTTAGGCCAGTGAACCAAGGGACCACCAGCCAGACCAGAAGTAGTGTCGGGGGAGTGGAGACAAACAGTTGCCAAGAGACCACCAGTGATCCCGCGACCGCCGCAGTTTGACCCCGATTGAGGAGGTCAACAAGGGGGGCTTATGAGCAGCTCCCCCGCCTCCTCCCCTGACCAACAACCCCCCCCCCCCAGGCAAAAAGACTTCCTTCTCCACGTGCCGTGGGCCTGCAACGGCATGTTTTCAGTGATCTGTTTTGCTCAATTAAACTTCAGAGGACACCCTGCCACATCTCTTAGCAAAGGTCATGACCCCAGGGGCAGAGGTTAAGTCTGGCGCTCGTAAAACAAGGTCTCCATTAACATGGCAGCATGTATTCAGAGGTAATCCATCCATTTCCACAAACTATCATGACAGTGTGGAAAAAAAGTTACGTTACTGGGGGGGGGGAGTCAAGGTAATGATGTTTTATGGCTGTGTTAACTTCCAGCACCAGAGTAATGGGAAAGCTGCTTGACCTTGACTTCTGCAGTCTCCCATTGGACTACCTCAATAATCATTTTCTGTCACTGGTTGAGAGGAATTCCACTGACAGCCTTCAAAAAGCTCAGTAGTTTGAAGTCATTTCTAATTTGTACTACCATTCCTACTTTATTGCGCTTAAGCTACTGCTTGTCAAATTAATTTATATTTGAGGTAATTTAGGAAAAGGTACAGCAGATAATTCCCATAACATTCCCCAAGATTCCTTCAAATTTTCAACTGAATTGCTTGTGTATCTTAATCACACATATTGTTTAGTTTTGTTATTTTTATCTTCACATTTTATGCCCACATGTGCATTAAGAACAAGACGTTTAAATATACAGAACTTTCACTGAATACAGCAACATTCCTACGTTTGTTGAGGAAACAGGGATGAGTAGCATAACGAAACCAAATACAAACGAGGCCTGCAGTATTCTAACATGTCCTAACATGACAATTATCAACATGCCTTGTTACAACTATTTCATCAAGCTGTCGAACTGGTTATGCAAAATATGATTCCAGGTGGGGAGAGGCGATGTTTAAAAAAAAAATATATATATATATATATATAATTGCACTTCTTCCTATTCAGATAAATATAAAACATTGCATTGGAGTATAAGAGCAGGTGTGTGTGTGTGTGTGTGTGTGTGAGAAGCCAGGGCCCCGTATTGAACACGGCCTGCCAGTTGGCACAATGGATGCCACAACCCCCACTCCCAGCCCCTAGCCTACTTCCCAGCGGGCATTCATCTGGGCATGCACATGGGTGCTACAGCCCTGACTGGCTAAACGCGTCTGTGCCCCAGAACAAGGGGGCTGAGTGCCCTCTCTAAATTCACCCAGCACACTCGCTGCCAACCCGCCGACCTTTCTCAGGCAGCAACCCACCAGAATCAAAAACAAATACACTGAACTTATTGATTTTTGCCACAAAAAAATAACAAGAAAAAATAGTGTTGGGTAAATAACGGCAGCAACATATTTTATGTTATCCAATTACACAACACAGCAGAAGTGAGCCACTGCCAGGTAGCAGGACAGAGAGAACAATGTTAAAAGCAGAGTCCGGACCCATTTTTTTTCCAGCAGTTCGCACAAATGCCAGATTCTGTTTCAGACAGAGCCGTTTGCTAGTTTCTTTGTGTTTGATTGTATGTTTGTTTGTTTCGTGCAGTTGCAGCAGAACAAAGGCAGCGGCTTCCATTCTGCCACTGTCAAAAAACTTTCCAACGTGCCCACTGCATTGCGGATGCCAACCAACGAATCAAAGGCATGCTGCAAGCAGACAAAGAGGGTTCGATGCCAACCTCCAAACCTCGAACAACCATTACTGGTGATTTGCCTGCCTCCCTGGCACAGTACAAAACAAAATGGCGCCGCACCACACGCTACCACAATATGGCTGCATTGTCTGGAGATGGGCACTGCTTGATAACTTGAAGAAAAGGAAAAGACGCTTTAGCTTGCAAAAAACGAAAAAGGAAGAAAAAAAAGCATGCCCGTTTCTGTGATCCCGGTAAAAGAATGCTATTTGTTGCCAAAGTTTCCTCTCAGAAATTCTGAGGACAACAGTAAATAGTCGCTCTGATCCATAATGCGATGTTGAATCCAAGCATTTAATTTCCCGGCGAAAGAGAACATTATGTTCACCATTTATTTCAAACACTAAAATTAATATTCTTGCCAATATTTTACTTTTCCTCCATAGCGGACACATTTGCCTAAAATAATATCTGGTGAAATACGGTCCATACTGTACAATACAAGCACTAACTTATTATTTAAATGGTCTATACTATAAAAACTATAAAAAAAAACGGCACTGAAGAGCCATTCTCAAGTTGGTACTGAACAGTTAAAAATGCAGCAGATGCAAACTAGAGAAGCGGTGGCATCCTACAAAAGACACAAAAGAGGGTCTGATGCCAACCCCGGTGCCAGTGGCAACCATTATTGTCTGTGTGCTGTGCCTTCTGCTTTCCCTGGCACTTATCAAACACAAAATGGCGCTCAGGGTTTGATGATAATGAGCTAGCTATACCACCATTTCTCCCCCCAATAGCAAAGTATTGGTGGTTATTCGGTGTCGCTGCGATAGATTTAATACAGGGGAATTTCAACAGGGAATACTATAGGGGGGATTCCTATAGTGTGAACAGATAAAGGGAGGAAGTTCAAAACTGTGAGGGACATGAATGACTGAAATTTAATCATATACTGTAAGAACCCTGAGACAGAAATTATCCGTTTTAAAGAGCTTTTAAAGGTTAAATTCTAAAACAAAAAATTATAGATATGGTGCCTAAATAAGAATTAAATAAGTATTGATTAGAACATTTCTAACAGAGCTATACACATTTTTTTCTGTACTTGGGCATTGTCTAGTCTTAATTACTATTCCCCTTCTCCTATACCAGATTCAAATGTGATGTTTCTATCATCAATTAGTGGATAAAAAATCCACAATTAGTTTTTTTCCATTTTACAACAAGAGGGATTTTGCACCGCAAAGCTGCTTTTCAAACAAATAATTCAGATTTTGGCTTAAATTGTCGGTGTAAATCAAATGTTTCAGTAAATGACAATATTTTATTGTTTGTGTGGCATTCTTTCAGTTGTATATAAGGGGGGAAATAAATCAGAATTCAGTTCTGAAAAAAAAAAAAGGTTTTAACACACGCATTCAAAAAAATGTGCATGTCAAAGCCCATTCCAGTACCTGGCAACAAATGTTTTCAGCCTTTTATTTCACACGGTGCTGAAAAAAATGCACGATTCAGTCTTCACATCGAGCACATCACTGTGTCCGCAAGAGGCTTTTGCGTAAAATAAACCATTTTTTCAGGAATTAAGAAAAGACAGAGGTTTCCATTTCAGCACAAATACAATCACACATCACACACACGACTGGCAATGGACACATTACCATAAAAACTACAGCTGAAATGTATTGCAAATATTTAAAAAGTTGACTCCTATCTTCAATACTAGGCTGTAATGTGACTCTCAGTAATGTGTTATTAAAATGTGGGTATTACCTTTTTAACTGTGAAAATCTCCTTTCAAAACAATATTGTTCTAATGTGATTTTCGACTGACAATAGAAGAGTTTTAAAATTACATGTTACATTATATAAAGGGGAAGAAGATTTTTTTTTTTTTACATAGCTGAACAACCTCAGTTTTTAAAAAATATGCTGTTAATAACAAAAACTGGTACAACAACAGCCTTAGAAGAACCCTGTGTTACTGGTACATGAACTCGGTATTAGAAAAATATACAACTAGTGGGTTAATTTTAATTTAACCAGCTAGTACTGCAACTTTCCACAAATGTCACTACTTAATATCCAGACAAATCGAATACGTGTACAGTGTGTGTGCAATTGTACAAGCCTGTGTGTCTGTGTGTGTACAGGATAATACATACCCTGTCCAAATTATAGTAACTGAATAATTACTGAACACGAGTACAAGCTGCTGCTGGAGTACAGCAGAGCAAAGACACATTCAGAACATGTTCTACATTTAATAATGAGAACAGAGTGTCTTTTTCTGTAGTATTGCGCCACACTTGAACCATATACAAATTTGTGCAGCATAAATACTGTACTGAGGATAAAGTTTCTTATGTTTATTTGTCTGGCGAATGTAGTCTCAGCAAGACTGCCAAAAAGTATCAAATGTGACCCATGACCTTACCAGGCCATCATTCACACATGCGCGTTAGCTCACACACACACACACACACACACACACACACACACACACACACACATTATGAGTTTGAACCTACCTTGGTCCTGGACATAGTATGCTAGAAACAAGTCCAGCTCCTTGACCGATACTGTTATGTGGTGTGGCTGGACACAAAGTGCTGGGTTGGTGCAATGTGGAGACTTGACAAGGCGTTCCCCATCTGTACTTTCCAGGGGGATGCCTTTGAAGAGGATGACCATCACCAGGTCCAGACGCCAAACTTTGTCAGCCTGTCGCAAACAGTCGATCCGGCGGATCTTGCCCTTCTGGTCCGGGTTGGATAGCACACAGCACGGGTGCTTCTTGCCCGTCACGCTGAGGACAAAGTCCTCCCGGTACTCCTGCCGAATGTCCTTACGCAGCTTGGCCAGCAGCCTGGATGCCCATTTTTGCTTAACCTCGGGCTTCTCGCTCAGAAGCTCATCCTTCACCGCGCGCTCCTCATCCTTGGACATCCGCTTCTCGTGCTTCTTGAAGTACTTGCGTTTTCTGGCCTGGAGGTTGAACCACGTGTAGGCAATGGCACGGACGTGAGGGAGAAGTGCCTCGATGAAGGGATGAAATTCATCCTGGAGCATCCAAGGGACACATTGAGGAGAGGGAAGAGAGGAGAGAAATATAATCAGAAACTCATGTCATCAAACATGGAGAAGAAATATGGGTTTAGTCAGCTACTAATCTGAGGCAGAAGGGAAGTCAGACCACAAATAAACAATTCCTCATAATCAGTCACATAATATCTTATTGGCAGTTTCAACAGCTTTAAGTCGAGAAGTTTCTCTAAACAGAGCAACACTGGCTTTACCATCCTAGATGTCTCTGGGCATACCGCAGGTATGACAAGGACATTCCACTGTTTATATCAACTGCCAGCACTACAATAGCACCAAGCCCAGTGACTGAATGCATTCGCTTCTCTGCTCTCATTTCCAGAGCATGCTCTGAGCAGGACTCCTGTGCTTGCTGCTGCCACAGGGAGCATGCGCCCCTCACGGATGCATTTCTCTTATCAAACTATTCACATTCCAACGTGAACTTATCCCATGTTCACGAAGGATGGAGGATAAGCCAGAGGGCCAAGTGGGGTGCAGTCACAAAAATAGGAAGTTGAGGAGATTGCCGCTCCACAAACAGCCTCATACACAGGCTGTATGCTCAAAATGCAATAAAGACACGAGCAGAGGAGCAAGGCGGCATGTCAAACGAAGCAATTGTGTGAGTGGTATTTGAAAAGGTTGAGATAGGACTTAATACGAAGTTTGTGCCAAATCATTTTAAGTGTTGAGGTTGACACACACACAATGACAGTCGCCCAGCTTCATTCCAATAACCGTGATATTAAAATCCTGGCCTGCTTTTAAAATTTTCCATCTCTCCTTTAATATATTTAATTTTTAAATGAAACATGCAATGCTGAGCCTTCTTTTTTTCATAAATTATCACATACATTTTAGAAGAAATATTTAGAGAAATACAGTCATTTTACTTTTTCATATTTACATTATGTTGTACTCTGCATTATGCCGCAGTACACTTCTTGCCACACTGTCTTTAATTTCTAAAGTGAGAAATTACCACAAATGTGTGTCAATAAAAATAAAACAAAACAACAAAAAAAAAAAGCTAAACACCAACATTTCTACAGCAACCCAGCACTTCTCTGACCTACGGGCAAATTCTAATAACCTCTTAATGCTTGTTCTCTGTAGGTGAAGGAATGTACAGGATGGTGTGGATGATTTAGAAGTCATCAGAAATTAAAGGAACTGCGAGTGACGAGTGGAAACATTAACTTATCTTTGTTTTAGGTCATTAAAATGTCAAATTTAATAAGCATAAGCAGCCCTCTTTTTGAGTGGGCTTTTGAAAAGTTAAACCACATATTGTTCTCTTTTGCGGTCTATAGGAAACCACAGAAATCCACTCCCTATCTGTGTGTGCCTGCCGCTGGTCCTCCTCTGAGAAGCCACGTTCCTGGTCTGCACTTATAAAACTCTGCTCCAGCACAGTAATGTCAAATTCTAATAACGTATTATACAGCGTGAATAAACATTTTATCCTCTCTCAGACTCTTTTTTTCAAATGTGTTATATTTAATAATGAATACTATGGATGCTTTACATATTCATAGTCTTTTAGAGAGGTAAAAAATAAATGAAATACATTCAGAACTCCTTTAAATGTCATGTCCTCTCTATAATCCTGCCAATTAAACTGACAAACATAAGCAGTAAATGCTAGTAAATGTGCTTTCTGAAATCCTTTTCACTTCTCGTTTCCTGTTGAAAAACACTTTAAATATTCCGTAAAAAATTTTTTCAACCAGGGTAAAGCCAAAATCCTGTAAAGATAAATGACTTGGCCAGGGCCTATGCAGTGCACTTCAGCTGGGGCCATAAAAGCACAATCCTCTTAAGTACAAACTAAACCACATCTCAGTCAATCACTTACTTATGCCAAGTAAAATATAAACAGTAAAACTGAGTCAGCCAAAACAGTCAGCTACTCTGTCCAACCGCTGAATCAACCTTATCATGCGTTTGATCTTCCTACAGTGAAAGTGGCTTTATCTTCTTCCAACTTCACTTCCCCAAAGTATAGGGGTTTTACTCTAAATAAAAATATACACGTGGAAAAAATACATAAACACGGCTCAAGCAAGGCTGGTAGGTGTGTGTGTGTGTGTGTGTGTGTGTGTGTGTGTGGAGAGAGAGAGAGAGAGAGAGAGGTTATTGGAGGACGCAAATAATTAAACCTGAGAGAAAAAACGAGCATACCTGCACCAATTACACAGGGAATATCAAGATGACAGTCTTGGGTTGTTATCCTAAAAATCATCTTTACGCACTACTTTACGCACACAAAGAACGCATAAAGATTAGCACTTTTGTGACTTTTTAAGCGCCTGCGGGACTATTAAATGATTTTTCGTTACAGAACTGTCGTTGGACTCCTGGATTCTCGAAAGTAAAAAAAAAAAAATCACCACAATTGTGGCACAAACCGTTCATTTCGGCTTGACAACTTTACAATTTTTCCGGCGCTATATTTTTTACCTATAAGGCAAAACATTATTGTTGTTGTAAATTACAAAAGTGCTTCCCAAGCAGAGCTGAAACTGCACAACCCTGACCCGCATGCAACACAACTTCCAATCCCCCCCCACCCCCCAATCGGCCACTGTCTGAAACCATTTTTTATTAGAAATGTACAAATCACAGCGAGTAAATGTATATTAAAAATAAAAAGACACAAATACCTGAGTGAGACAAATTGGAGAATACATGACGAGACGGCTACACAAAAAAAAAAAAAAAAGTGAATGTACTTGGACTGATTCCTCGGATCACTTTATCGCGCCATTCCTGGACCGACGTGCACCGTGCGAGACTGTGGAGCAGCTATCCGCGTAAAACACTGATAGATTATCCAAGAACATCCATGAATTTTATGCGATCCAAAGACGGTCGGGTCCGCGGAGTAAATAATAATAATAATTTAAAGTTGACACGCACGGTGTGAGCGCTTGCAGATTGTACTCGTGGAGCCGGTGCGTGTACTCCTCTACTACATGGGCTCTGTGCGCGTCTCTCTCTCGGTGCTCTGATATGTCGTTCATAAAAGCATTGTGGGGAGCTTCAGTAGGGGCGCCGGGTGTGTGATGTTCACCCCTGCTTTAACCAAACTTGATATGAAATCGACCGGTGCACCTTCGGTCCTGCGCGATTCCAGCAAATCAGACCCAACTTTTTTTTTTTTTTTTTTTTTCACCCACGTAATTACACAGTCACATCCTCCTCCTCCTCCTCCTCCTGCTCCAAACACACAGCCCCTATCCACCATCCAGCACCTTCTTCTCCTCCTCGGCTATCTGAAAACACAGCGCACAATTCATTTAGCCCCTCACTCCGGCAGGCTTCTGTTTTTTTATTTTATTTATTAGCTTCGGGGACTTTGGACCACAGCCTCGGTCACATAGAGGCGGAAAAGGAACATTTCCCTCCGCAGCTCTGGCACCCTTTACCCCCCCTCGAGCTCCGTGTCAACAACAGGCGCTTACTCGAGTCCTTCAACGCGGTGTCTGTGTCTTCACAGTCAAACTTTAGCTCGTTTTTTGTTTTTTTTTAGTTTGTCAGTCACATTGTAGCAGTTCATTCGCCTTAAATTTGTTTTAAAAAGTTCCTGAAATAAACCACAATACGATAAATAGTAAAACATGTAGAAGATAAGCCACATTTAATGTAAATGTTAGGCTTTTTAATGAAGCGCGAGGAGCCTCCACTGAAGATAATAATTAGCTTAATTTTATTGTTTACAGCAGAATTAGCACGGCAGGTAAAAAAAAAAAAAAGGCACCTAACTTGACATTTTGGTACAATTAGTTTATAGAGGGGAATTTTGTTTTAAATTTTATTATTTCAAATGCCAAAACCTGCTCTACCTGAACACCTTTTTATAATAATAAAGTGTTTGAACCCTCACAGCTATGCTAGGTGTGTGTGTGTCGTAACATTGTAGCACTGATGCCGAAAGGACTGGAAGTTAAACATTGTTACTTTGTGGATGCAATGTGTGTGTCTGTGTGTCCTACAGAGCTGTCAGCGGTCCACACAAGAGTTCATTTGCCAAATTAAGGGGAATGGGATGTTAACATAGGCTGTCGGAGAGTCTGTGCCAAGTTTAGTACAATTTTTGGCCCGACCGTGCCAGTGTTTTGGTCCCGTGTTAAAGTTAACCCACTTCTCCACATTTCTCAATCGTCACGAGGACAGAATTACATATATATATATATATATATATATATATATATATATATATATATATATATATTGTATCACAAATGGTATCAATACCGCTATCACAACATTTGAAAACAATAATAATCCATGTTCACGTACCATTGCACTGTACTGCATGGATTAATAGGGAATCCTGGAGCCTGGTTGAAACACACAAGCCGGTAGCTTCACATTTCTCACGTTCAACTTTGTGCTTTGGAGGGCTTTCTCTTGCAGTGCTCGCAAAAAAAAAGTCAACACCGGAAGACAATTCTTTGCAGATAGCGGTGAACAGAAGTTTGGAGCACCTCGCGTTTTTTTCTCTTTTTTTTTCCTGTCTTCCTTCCTCTTCAAGTCTTACTTTCTTGGATCGGTTTTTTGGGGTTGTTCAGTGAAGTTGAACGCGATCCAGAAGAGGCTGAGTTTTCGGCACTGGGTTGGTCTCCGCCTTCACTTTCACTGTCTGACTGCCTGACACCCTCCGGCTCTCGGCAGTAGCTGTCAAGTCGGATATAATTTGACCAAGACGATTTCCGGTACGACTTTTCCAAATAAAGCCCTCATTTAGAGATTCGGCCTGTGCAATTTTTCTTGTAAACAAATTGGCCTTTTCATGTGAAACGTTCATACAAAGCCAATTAACGTGGAAATTATGTTTAATCAGTCTGGGGTTGACACATATATTCCTCTATATTTTGAATGGCTCTGTATAAAAGCATGCCACTGTCCAATGTAAATCGTGTATATAAAAAAAAAAGTTTTCATGAAATAAAATAAATACCTTAAAGTATACATAAAAGAGTGAACCTTTTGTCGATCTGGAAACCTTAAAATCACTAAAAATGGGGACAGCTAAATGTCTCCAATGGACAGCTTAAATCTCCTCTCTTCCACTAAGCTACAATAAACTATAAGCTTACAGTAGCTATAAAACTGTGAATTAAAGGCGGTAATAACAGTTTTTAACCTGAAAACCTGACAAAGTCTGGCTCTTATTTTGAAAGCAAAACCACCCCATTTCCCGGTGACCATCCAGTTGTATCTTTGCAGCTTGACACAGCGTAGTTAGTGTTTTCATTCTTGCCTCTCATTGGCCAGAAGCAGTGGCCCCGGGACTCTCTACCCTGGGCCCCTCACTTCCGCTCCTCTGACGTGCTGTGCGGGACTGGACAGAGCTGCTGCTGGACAGTCGGACTGTATAGCGATGCGGTCAATGACTGATGGTGGAAATCACTACACTGCAGTAATTACTGCTTCAAAAGACATTATTATTATCATCATTATTATTAGTAGTAGTAGTAGCTATAATGGGAATAGTAGCATTAGTAAACCACTACCAGTGTCTATATACATCCTCCACACACTACTATTATGCAGTAAGTAATCATAATATAATAGTATTCTCATGCATCAGTGCTATGGTGCTCATTAAGAAGAACAGCAGTGGTGTAATAATAATATTACTGATACCAGCAGTAAGCAGTGTTATAATAGTAACAGTTACAGTGTTAGTGTAGTAGTAATGGTGGGTGTTTCCAGAACAGTTGACTCATGTGCGGTTTTAAAAAGGGTAACCTTGTAATGTTTAATCATTCACTGGATGCCAGCATAATCACAGCAGGGCAATGTGATTGTATGACTTGAATGGGTAGTCTGACAATAGATTTTTACTGCTCACTCATCATTGTTATCAAGACATTAACACACTATTCAGAGTTGTCATGTGGGTCCAGTATCTACATCACACACCCGGTGATCAGGTGTGATTCACTTCTAAAAACAATTAAGCTGAGAGCATTCAGTTGTGGTAGAAATGGCAATAAATTGCTGATTGTTTCAAGGCTAAGTTCAGTCTGATAGTGTTGGTGTGTTCATTCACACTGTGGCATCCTTGGAATAAAGCTTTAAAACACTCCTTTAGACCACCATCACTAAATGGAAATTTCAAGCACACTCGATACATTCTGCAATGCCTTGCTGTATACTCATATTATAAAGTATTTTTTCCAAAAATGTTTTGTTTTTAGATTTTGCTCATTTTCCATCATTATGACATACCCTGGCTCCATACTCTCTCTCTGCCTCTATTTATCAAGTATTATATCATGCCAGTCTGCTGGTGCACATGACATGAGCCTCCACAGATTCATCCCTCTACATATGGACCTACCGCCCCCATGTGGCCACAAACACAATTGCTAGTTGCTTTATTGGCACCCACTGGAGAATTAAAACTGGAATCCCGTGACTGTAATTTTAAAAGGTAGGGATATTTTTTTTTAAATTTAAGAAATGTATAACACAAGTTGTACATAAGCATACAGGACATTTGTCTAGTGCCATTAGGCTAAATGAAACAGACACAATTCTTAATGTGATCAGAATATATCAATATATATGATAAAAAGAGATTTCTTTTTACACTTCCTAGCCAAAAATGAAAATACAAACACCTTTGGATAAAATTAATATCAGGTGTTACTAATAAGCAATCAATTCAAATGCCTTCAAGTGTCCCAGTAAGACATGAGCCAGAAGGCACAATGCTAGTGTCTTTTTTATACCATTAGGTGGCAATATACCAGTGCTGTTACTGTAGTGATCACCTGTGTCATCTGGTTGTAATCTAGTATTTTTTTCAATATGCTTAACTTAATTAACCAAAGCAGATCAGAGAGTACAAAATATACTTTTGATTTCAAATTTCACATGTTTTGATGTGGTATCCAATAAAGCTACTAAGCTAATGTAAAGATAACCATATATACAGTAATACTACAAGGCTACACCAAACAATGATGTAAATATGTGAATACAGTTGCCTTTGTCCGTTAAGGTTGTTAAGTCAAGAGAAGTGGTACTTCACTGTGTGATCAGACTTTACCAATGCCATTTCCTACCAGTTGCCCCATTTCCTATGGGCCTTTTGTAACAGCTGTAAGTTACTTTTCATGACAATACAGCATGTCAGCTGGTAAATCCTTTAATATAAACTTTTAATTAAATGCCATTTCTGACCATGACATAGTTCACATCATGTTCTGTCCCCGCTTGCTGAAACTGCTCTTAAAATCCCTTGAAAGTTCTTGAAAGCACTAAGGCTCTTTCTTTATGTAAAGAGGTGAAGAAGAGGTCATTGTATTTTAATTTAAATAAAGTTTTTTTCTTTAAAACAGCATCAGATAAATAATAAAATGTTGCAGTAGGAAGAGCAAAATGGTCATTTGATACATGTATATCACTAAAATAAAATTAATTCACGTATATACTAACATAACTGAAAACAGGAAAAAACAGAGCAACACAGAGCATGTCTTGAGCTGAAAGGGTCAATTCTCTCTGCTTGGATTCATCAGGACAGACAAACAAACCTCAACTTAAACCCTGGTGATGGAGCACAATAAAAGCTTGCCTGTAGTCAGACAAGTAAATAAATATTCAGAAAGAAATGTCAGCCTGCGTTGTCTCTTCAGCATGGGAAAGGCGCGGGTTGGACAAGGGCTCTTTGTCTGACACTATCAAATTAACACTGCAGAGGGTGCACAGAGAGGTGCACTTCAGGAGCGCTCTTACACTGCAGGGAGGGTAAATAGTTCCTTTATTTATTCATCTCTACAATAAATAAAACAATTCTTTAAAGCTCATATGGTTCACTCCTCGCCTTTAAAATCCTTGATCCATTGCATTCCAACTGAAGTAGAACTGGGTTGAAAACAGTTTAGTGCACACACTCACAACTGCTGGCCTTGAGGATCACATTAATTCAGATATGAATCCTTGTGCCAAGGATGCTCTTAACCGATGTTTTAAATAAAAGCTGGAAAAAATAACCTTAGTTCAAAGCACCTAGCATAGTGACAAACTAATTAGAGAATGTGAAAATGTGAGTCAAATTTGAATTTAAGAGGCTAAGATGATATTTGAGTGGGTAAAACAGGGCTGCAGTCGGAGACTAGACAGATTTTTACAGACATATTTCCCC